ATATGTTTAGGGATGGTTTTTATCCTGCATTTAAAAAATTTTCTCATCAAATCTGTCAACGTGATATTTTAAAATATTATCAGGAGGAACAAGGAAAAATAATTTCTTATTTTAAAATTTTAAACTGTAAATTTTCTTTAACTTCTGATATTTGGACATCTAGAGCACAAACTGGATATTTATGTATCACAGCACACTAGATTGATGAAAATTGGCAAATGTTTAAAAGAGTTATTTCTTTTATTGCAATAGAAGAGTCACATACTGGTATTAATGTTGCAAATTTAATAATTGAAGAACTTATGAAATTAGAAATTTTAGAAAGAATTTTTTCTCTTTCACTAGATAATGCAAGTAATAACAATGTAGCTGTTGATTTTATCAGATCAACTTTATCATTGCCATGTCATGGTGATCTTTTTCATATTAGATGTATCTGTCATATTTTAAATTTAATTGTTCAAAGTGCATTTACTGAAATTAAACCCATGATAGAAAAGGTTAGAACAGTTGCTTACATGCATAATGCTTCTGAATAAAGACTTAAAAGATGAAAACAATTTTGTAAAAGAAAAAACATAAAGCCCAGACTAATTCCAAAAGATGTTGATCATAGGTGGAATTCCACCTATGCAATGTTAAGTGTAGCAATAGAATATAAAGACATTATAACTGATTTTATAAACTATTATGTTTCTAGTTCTAGTTCTGGTAGCACTTATGGAATAACTGAAAATGAATGGACAATTATATGTAATTTAAATAAAATGTTACAAGTTTTTTATGATGCTATAATGTTATTATCTGGCTGTTATTATTCAACCATTACTTTAGCTGCTTTACAAATTTTAAATATTCAAAAAAATTTTGAAAAATTTCGTATGGATGATACTTTTGGACCTACGATTTTTCAAATGGAGAGCAAATTTAATAAGTACTTTAGGCCTATTCCTCATATTTTTGGTTTGGGGGTTCTTATTGTTCCATGCTTGAAGGATATTGACCTTCGAAGTTAATTTGTTACAATCCTTGTATAGTAATCAGATTATAGACTTAGATGATGGAACCACCCTTAATGCTACTACTCATCATTTAGCTATTAGAAATTATTTTCAAACCTTATATGATGAGTATGCAGCTAGACATGGTGTAGCTACACAACAGTCTACAGCTTTAGTTTCTTCGAGCTCATCCCGAGGTAAAAGTGTAAGTTTTGATAGGTATGCAATGGTAGCTGAGCTAACTGGTGGATCTGGACTTGGATCGTCATCATTGGAGATTTCTGAAATAGATGAATATTTATCTGCTTCTTTAGTTAAATGTCAATGAAATGCTTTAGATATTTTGTAATGGTGGAAAGTATATGGATCAGTTTCATATCCTATACTTTCCACCATGATTCGTGACTTACTAACAGTGCATGTTTCGACGGTAGCTTCGGAATCTGCCTTCAGCACAGCAGGACGTTTGATCGACGATCACAGGACATGCTTAGATCCGTACACTATACAAGCGGTGATGTGCTTACAAGATTGGTGGAGGTACGAGAAATGAACGCAAGGCATCGATCGGATGACTGGAATTGAAGATAAATTTGAAGAATTAGGACTAGCAGATAGATATAAAGAATAAATTGTAATTTTTATATCTTAGGCCTTAACTTAAAATTTGTAAAGAATTATTTTGGAAATAGTTACAAATGATAGTGATATAGGTGAGTAGATACCAACCTAGTTGGGATTTACTTATCTATTATAATGCGATTAATTCCAAAATAAATTTGTACTTGTAATTTATAAATGATTTATTAATTATTAATAAAGAATTTATTTTTATTATTTTTTATTTGTAATTTATGACATTTTAAGTGATTAATAAAATTATCGTTTTTTATTATTTTTCTTGTCTTTTTTGTAATTTAAAATTTAAATAAAATCTAAAAAATTTGAAAAAAAATAAAAAAAATTGAAAAAAATCCGGGCCAGCCCGGGCCCCGGTTTCGCCCGGCCCGGGCCGGCCCGGATGGACAAGCCTAGCCATGGCCTCCAGTCTTTTAGAAACATAGCTAGTATGGACATTCGGTTTCTTCCTATATTAGTCCTTGAAATCTTCCCCTTTGAAATTAGTCCCATAGGTCTTTCAAATTTGAAATTAGTCCCCTAAGTCTTTCATATTTGAAATTAGTCCCCTAGCTCTTCATATTTTGAAATTTGTACCCCCCAGTGTTTGAAGTGTTTTGAAATAATTCCCTTTATTACTTCTAATGTCCAAATTGTTGACCACGACTGAGTGGTTAAAACTAGGGCAGATGATTATTGAAATACCAAGTCAATCTAAATCAACATCTAAAACCATGTAAATCATGTTTAAAACTAGTGGATTTATCTTCTAGAATTCTGAAATTATCATGCTTGAACGGATGTCAAGCCAATAAACATGCTAGTGATCTAATGAAAATAAAGAAGTTGTTGAGTTTGATTATAGTTAAGTCTCGCACTTTGTGTTTGCCATACATTTCTTTGGTGGATTCCATTGAGTATTAGTGTTTATCTGTATCTCTAAGGTAGCATTGTTAGAATAATAATTTGTCGCATCTTTCTAGAATGGTGACATCTATATCACTCAATTGGTCGACCAATCCCTCTATTTGTCGTTTATTCTAAGGTATTGATATCTATATCCTGAAAGTGATCGGCGTCCTATCCACATTTTCTCACATTTCCATTCATCCATCTCACCCTTACCTTTCTGGCTGCACTCACAGTTTGTTGGTCGAATATAATTGTGAAATGGGATTATTTCAATTTCACGAAATTTTACACTAAGAAGTAGATATGTGAATTTGTGAATGCATGTTCTATATTCATATACTTCTGCAATTATTTTATCAATGTGATAGTTAAAATCTCTTTGTCTCTTCTTATTGTTTTAAATAAGTTTAATGGTGTAATTTATAGTGTACTCCAAGCTGTTAGGTCTTCACAAAGATTATAATTTATAGTTTGTGGTTATGGAAAAAAAAAATACAAAGGGAACATTTTGAGAAAAAAATTGTAGAAGATTGAAGCATAGAAGTCACGAATGTTGTTATCAGGGTTCTGGAACATGTCCCAATTCATCAAATCCCTCGACTTAATGTAGAACTCAAACCAGTATATTTTGAAAAACAAACCCTGTTTTAAAAGAATAGACAACAAAAAAATGTCAGAAATTAAGTAAATGAAGTATGCATACCTAAATTGTGATATGATTCTCAAAGTTCTTTTATCCCTACTGTTAAATAAATAGCATATTTCTTAAGTTTGACTCCTAACAAAACCTTTGATTCCAACATTTAAGAATCAAACCTAAAATATATCACGTTCCTTGACGTGACGCATAGACCTACGCCCCCTTTACCCAATTCCTAATGAATGGCATACCACACGGATTGTGATTCAACCACTGGTGCATATAGGGGTGGGCAAAAACCGAAAAAAACCGGTTCAACCGAAAAAACCGCCCGAAAAAACGGACCGGTTAACCGAACCGAATTAAATAGATGAGAAGAAGTCTCTAAACCGCCCGAACCGAATTAAATCGGTTTGGATCCGGTTTGAACCCCTGAACCGCCCAAAAAAAACCAACCCGAATTTTGTTGGGCGGTTTAGAGACTAAACTTATACCTCAAAACTTTTCCTGTTATCATCCAATAAATTCAAACAGCGTAAGGAGCAGTTTCAAGCAATGAGTACAACAATATCACAGAAAAATATCCTTGAGAACTAAGTAAAGATTCAAATCAATCCAGAAAATTTGTTATGCACATGATGCACTTACAAAAGATGCATATACTACATTATATGAACAATATCATACAAAACATCACTCCCCCATGTAATTAAATAAACTTAAACTTTAGTTAAAAAATTTCGCAGAAAATATCTTGAGAATTACATAAGATTCAAATCAATCACAAAATGTGTTATGTACATGATACTTACAAGAGATAAGCATGCTGTATTATATGAACAACATCTTTAAAACATCAGTTCTCTGCGTAATTATATCAACTCAAAACTTTATTCTAAAGATGATAACCAGTCTAATAAAGCTTTGTTGGCGAGCTCAGGAACCTCATCATGAGGACAATGCCCAGCTTGCAAATTCACAACAGAAGTCTTTGGATAGAACTCTTTGCAAATTCAAAACCGAAACCGAACCGAATTTCGGTTGGGCCGAATATTCGGATGAAGGGGAAAAAATCTGGATCTGGATGAGAGTTTCACTACAACAAAATACAACATTACCGACGAAACAAAAACGTCGGCAAAAGTTTAAAAAACGTCGGGAAAAATCTTTCCTGACGCAAAATGCAGCGTCGCTAACGCGTCGCCAAAAGTGCGTCAAGGAAAGTATTTGGCGACGCAAATACACTGCGTCGCCAAAAGTATACTTTTGGCGACGCGTCATGCGTCGGGAAAAGTATATCTTTTAGCGACGCATAATATTTTGCGTCGGCAAAAGTGTACTTTTGGCGACGCATGCAGCGTCGGCAAAAGCTATGCGTCGGCAAAAGTTTAGTTTTTAGCGACGCTATCCTGCGTCGCTAAAAGTATAACTTTTAGCGACGCTTCACTCTGCGTCGTTAAAAGCTATACTTTTGGCGACGCAAGATAGCGTCGCTAAAAGCTATACTATTGTCAACGTAAAGTAGCGTCGGCAAAAATGTAGCTTTTAACGACGTATAATGAAACGTCGCTAAAAGCTATACTTTTGGCAACGCAAGATCGCGTCGCTAAAAGCTATACTTTTGCCGACGCAAGATAGCGTCGACAAAAGTATAATTTTTGGCAACGGTAAAAAGTATAATTTTGTCGATACTAATTTGCATCGCCAAAAGTAATATCATTTCTGTCAACTACAAGCCTACATTGAACCTGAACATCCACAAAAAATTTACTCCCATTCACATCAACAAAGAAACCAAACATCAAATTATACTCCAAACAAGTTGCATATTATGATAAACAAAGAATTTGCTCCCATTGCAAAATAATTACATTCATTTCCATTTCCAAATCAACACTCAAAGACCTGTTTAAATATTCCAGTTTGCCATATTCAGTGTTTTCCATTTCAGAGAATGACACATTATAAGATTTACAGGAAACTAAACTAAGTTGAAAAAAAGAAAACTTAAAGTGAAAGAACGACACGATCAGTGAACCTCTTCACAGATGAAGGTATATTCTCTGGTAGAGTTTTTGCGACTCTGTCTAACTCCTGCATTTGTTGCTTTGCAGTCACTCTATCAGGGCCACTAAACATATTCATAAGCTCTTTCATGTGTGGTAGTCTTTCCATCAGTTCTTTGATTATTTCCTGTTAGAGATGTTAAAGATATCAGTTCTTTGATTAAACACTCTTCTATATAGTTTAAAACAAAAGAAAGATTTTCAAGCAAAATCATAGCAAAGATCATGCAGAAAGAAACTAAAGGCATTTGAAAATTACGCAAAAAGGAAATTACAGACACCCTAACCCATCCATCTCCAACTAGTATTTTCTTCTTCAACATTCGTTCTTTATTATCAGCATAAGCTTCAGCTATCTCTCCTTCTATAGGAATAAAATAGCTTCTATAGGAACATCCTTGTGGCAAGTCTTTTACCCTTACTCTGCGGAGACATATGCTTCAGCTTCAGATTTTTGAAAAATATATTTAGCATCAGACCTCATTTTTTGCTTTCTTAAAATTATTTCACTTGAACTCCAGAAGTCAAGTGTTTTCATTCTTTTAGTTACACTAGTATGTCATACGTACGTTGCACGTGATGCATATTAAGAAACTACATGAGTTTAAATATTTGAAGGCTAAGTAAATATCAACAATTAATCTAAAATTTTTAAGGCAACAACAGAGAAAAGCAAACAAAAGCCTCTACCAACCTCATTCATTAGACACAAGAAAACAACGCAATAGAGGATACAACATGTAAAAAGACAAAAAACCAGCTCCACACTTCATATACACTATAACCAATTCAAGCTGCTCAAAATCAAAATAGAACCATTTGCTTTAGATGTCGAAGTTCCATAAATACGAACTTTGTACCGGGCAAATTATTTCTTTCCTCTTAGTTTCACTCTCAAGACCCTCTCTAGTTTGGTAATTATCTACTAATTTGGAATTGCTTTTTAAGACACGTACTCTTGAATCACTTGAGGCTTCTCATTGATGAGCTGCAACATCATGGATGTATGTTGGCAACATCATTCATTACACATCCTCCACAAACAATTACTATGCAATAACTTATGTTGGCAATGCAAACCTAACCAAATCCGTTCAAGAAAACCAACCAACAAACAAACGTGCATTTTATGTGAATCTGAGTCATTGTTTAATCCATTTGTATGAGCTAAATGCAACTCTTTAGATATATAGAAAGTTGTCTTAAGCAAGAATGGCTATTAAATCTGTAATTCTATCATTTTGAAGTTTGTTTGGAACCGGTGGAAGGCACATATGTAAGTGCAGATGAAATTCATGGACCTGATATCAATAATTCTAAAGCTCAATAATCGAACTCATGGATCTGCAGTGGAAGCAATAGGAACTCTAAAGGCTCTTGCATGTATAGAATTAAGTGTAAATAATCAAATAAAACACACAATAGCATCTCCCTCATATGCTCTCTTTATTATCAAAATAATGAAAAGGAAAATGAAACGTAATTTACCTTTCAACAGATGAGTTCTCCCACTAACCTCAAAGTCCCTAAAAATCCAAGGACTGCAACCAAATTGATTAATGCAAACAGATCCAGAAGCACGACTTATTTCTTCCATTGCTATACAGTGATACAAGTAATCAGGACCAAGGCCTCCATATTCCTCTACAGTGGAAACAATTGAGTCAAACAAGATGAGATATAGTGAATTTCACGGGCAATAGACAAATGAAAAGGTAGGTACTAAAGGAGACTAGAAATGTCATCCATGAAAAAAAAATCACCACATACAAAATAACACCAAAGCATGAAACATAACATAATAACACCAAAGTATTGCAACTAAGTAACAGGAAAATCACCACATACAAGAAACTCTAAGGACACAAAGGGGGTTTGGAATATTTTAGCATCAATGAGACATGAGTTGTGATGACATAATCCCTAATAGAATTACTAACCTTTGAGCCCTTTGCTAGCCATAGAAGCTTTACTTCCATGTCAGATCTCGAATGCACTATACCACAAGGCAAATAACCAATACAGGATTCACTTGTACCAGAGTCCTGAATGTTAGACATGAAATCATTAATTGTTGTTAATGCTGCAACGCCAACAAACTCATAACATCATGTAAACTTTAACGTGATGAAACACTAGCTGACAGCTTAAGTTTCACAAACCAACAACATTGGGAAGGGAAAGGCATATTGCGAAAATAACTAATCATAAGCAGCTCCTAAAAATGAAAATGATCAAAGGAATGTTCTGATTGTTTCTTAAAAAAGAACAGAAAAGTTTTACCAATATCGTATCAAAGGGATGAGATGTTGCTTCCATCTATCGATTTTACAAATCACAACAAGGATTTTATTAAATACAAAACAAATAATGAAATTACTAAATAATCAACTGCCCAAAGATGTACCTCTGTTTCTTGATACTGAATGGTTGCCATTCTATAAACAATGAACAACCATCACAATGCTCAGATTATTCATATGGCTGTATTTTCATCTATATTACAACTCTTAGCATATATCATCCCCTGCAGGGGCAAGTTTACTCGTCAGTGAGTAGGAAGAGAATTAGGCATATATCATCATGCAGGGGCAAGTTTACTCGTCAGTGAGTAGGAAGAGAATTCAAACACAAGAAACGAGTTTTACCCTCATAAGGTTTTATCCGAAATGAATTTTACACAGTTAACCTTAAAACAAACGACTTTAGTTATTTTAATTACATGCTGTAATGAACATTGAAGTGTCCTATATGGATCAATAACTCAGATTTCTTCTTATAAAAAAGGAAACCTGAACATCAAGCCATGACTCTCCAAGCGAGAAATAACAAAAAAGGAATCAGGTAGAAAATCGCAGTGATTTCTCCTTAACAAGTGTGACTCAAGTGAATGAATCCTTTTATACTTTACAGATACCTGATAGTAATCCTGTATGGGCCATAAAGTGACATCTTATGGATCAAATAGGTGATGCAATATGCATGCCCTGCAGTTCTCTTGATTCTAACATGAAGAACGAGAGGTAGCGAATGTTTGTAAATCATAATGTAAAATACAGAAAGCCTTTTAGAGAAAATTACTGTGGCATCAGTTCAATGTGAATAAAAGAAATAATTGTCAGTCGGTACTTTTACTTTCTTTCCGGGACATAGTTCAATTTCCATTGACATCGTGGTTCCTCTTTCTGTATAACATATAGAGAACGATATATGCATCTTCTAGATAGCAAGACCCGTGTTGAGACCCGAGATTGATTTCCCTTATTTGTAAACTGAGACCGCACCATTATTTGTTCATGATATAAATTTTATATCGATATGATGGTTCATTGGCTATTTCTAATAATAAGCAGTACCAGGATACTGCAATCTCAGTTGGCTTCAATCCTCAATGTCTTCTAAACTCAACATATTAGAATTGATATTTATATTTTTTGTTATTATAAAAGAACCATAAATAATTTATAATTTGAAGAAAAGTCTTTCTCCCTGTTTGTGAGGACTAAGTCCATCTAAAAGCTTTTATTATTTCCCGAAGGCATTAGTCGACTAATCTGGCTCAAATTCCCTCCTAAGGGACTCATACAAGAATGAACTTGATTGTAATAATTAATTAGAAATTGAAACCTGAAAAACTAGCTAATATATATGGCTGTTTTTCACCATCCGGACATCAAATTCAAGGCATGCAAATGCCAAATACCGATTTATCGTGACCCATATGCGAAACTAAGAAAACTTAATAGTACCAAAATTTAAGCAAAATACTACAGAAAGAAATCACAGATTTCCACACATAAACATGAAACAAAAGCCAGAGAAAGTTTTCAGAATCAAACTTCGATCTTCGCTTTTTGCCCGTCGGAACCGTTGGGGCGCAGATTACAGAGAGCTTGAAGAGGAGATGGGAAGCTAGGCTGCTAGCCCGCGCCATTTTCCTCTTACGTTCAATTTGATTCGATTTGGAAGAGGAGAGGAGAAGGAGAGGTGGCGAGATCCGATTCGGCGAGATCCGATTTGGGTCGACGGCGGCGGCGAGCTTCAGAGGATCGATGGCCGGCGGGTGACTCCGATGGAGGCGGTGAACTCCGACGAAAGCGGGCGGAGCACGGGGGTTTGGGGCAGGTTTCTAATGAGAGAAGAAAGAGAGAGAGAACGGGATTCTGAGTTTTTTCTCTTTTTCGCGAAAATAAAGGGGGGAAATTCCCGGCCTATAGGTAAATAATTTGGGGTGTTTTTTTGGCGACGCGGATGAACGAAACAGCGTCGTAAAAAGTAACCTTTTAGCGACACAAAACAAGAACGTCGGGAAAAAGAGACTTTTAGCGACGTTAGCTTAACACGTCGCGATAAATGCATATTATTAGCGACGCTAATCTTAAAACGTCGCTAAAAAGCTATACTTTTGCCGACGAAAATAAAAAACGTCGGGAAATCCATAACTTTTACCGACGCTAAGTTAGAACGTCGCTAATAATATACACTTTTAGCGACGCTAATTATAAACGTCGGGAAAAATATATTTTTGCCGACGCTAACTAAAAGCGTCGGGAAAAATATAATTTTTACCGACGTATTTAACCATGCGTCGGGAATAAGCGTCGGGAAAAGTGCAATTTGTCGTAGTGTTTTGAGCATCCGAAAAATTCGGATTGGATACAGATTGGGCATAAAACCGAACCGAACCGAATATGCCCAGCCCTAGGTGCATATGCTAAAAAAATTAACTATTAACGAATTTTTTTAAAAACTTTTATTCTAGATTCTTCTTTCACGTGCTTAAATATATAGATCTTTGTCACATATTTATCATGTTTGACCAATTTTTTATTGATGTATGAAGGTTAAATTATTAATCAAATAACACATTAATATGACCATTTATATTAGAGAGGCACTAGGGGCACACCCTCTACCACACTCCCAACCACACCACCTCTATTGCTACAGTGCACGGGGTCCACATGAGATTTTAATTTTTAAAATCTCATGTGAGCCCCGTGTACTGTAGCAAGAGTGGTGGTGTGGTTGGGAGTGTGGTAGAGGGTGTGCCCCTATCATTGTTTAAAAAAAAACCAACCATGAATAAAAAACATACACACAAAATCCAAACTTCGCCACTGATTATAGTTGCTACAACGAACAGAACTACGCACACACAGAGCTGTCAGCTTTCCTCATTTCAAATTTGTGGCACATTGTCAACATAACACCATCAATAGAAATCTCCCATTTTCTTGTATCTATCACTTGTCGAAATTAACAAAATCAACAACACTCTTGATCCAAAGGTGGGAATTTAAAAACAACTTAGCAAATCATGGGCTTTTCCGAGTGAAACTTGCAGAAACAAAGAAAACACAAATCTAAGCTCAACAACATCAGCTAAAAAGCCATGCTAAAAACACTTACTCGTAGGTCTTTGCTTCAATGGCTCGTCTTCTTCTTCTTCTTCTCGAAGTCTCTAGAGCAACAGATGACATGGAATGCAACTGATTCTGAATCTACAAAATCATAAATAAATAATAAATAAAATCTTTAACATAAAGCATTACCCCGCGACCAAAATCATAACGTACATAATTCCACTCAACAACTAGGGCATCTCTTCTTAATCTTTTGTAGAGAAAAAAAAGGGAGCTGGTATATACTGATTAGATTAAAGATCAAAGTTTTGACCTTGAGAGAATAACAGGAGGGGTTGTGTTGGAGCCCGCAGGTGCCGGATAGAGACGGGAAGAAGAGGGACAAATTTTCAAAACAGACATGTTTTGAAATTTATTCCCAAAAACAGACATGTTTCCAACTTAATTTCAAAAACCAATCCAGTTGACTGAAATTTGGTCGGTTTTTGAAAAAAAATTTACAAACTTCATGGGAGTTCAACTCCCGTGAAGTTTTGTTATGAGAAAAAACTTCACGGGTGAACTCCCGTGAAGTTTGTGAACTTTTTTTTTCAAAAAACGACTCAGTTTCAGTCAACTGGGTCTGTTTTTAAAATTAAGTTGGAAAAAAGTCTTTTTTGGGAATAAATTTTAAAACCAGCCTGTTTTGAAAATTCCTCCGGAAGAAGAGAAGAAAAGAGCATGGCCGCCATGGCTGATGCGGAGCTGAGAGGGGACCCCCTCCCCTTTTTGCTGTTTCTAGAGAGAGAAAGAGGGGAGGGGGTGGGGGGGGAGAGAAAGTGAGAGGCTCAGTTTTTGTTTCATGCAAGCGTGTTTGTCTTATCTCCAACACCGGGCGGCTACAGGGGCAACCCACTAACGGCCCTACGTAAATGCACATAGTGAGGTAAACAAGTAATGGGCCAACATATCTGCACCTAGTAAGATATTGTCGGATTAAGGCTCTTATATGATCCAACCCATTAACGGCCCAACGTATCTGCAAATTGTAAGGTAAACATGCAGTGGGCCTAAGTCTAACTCTTGTAATTGTAACTCTCAACGTTGGAGTTATTTGAAATAACCATGAAAAATATATAATTAATAATGCATGTACTTTATATTGTACTATACTATAATTTCGTTCCTCTCAAAAGAAAAAAAAATAGAAATTAAAAATAGAAATCATACTCCCTTTAAAAGCACGAGTTTGGAAAATCTTTTTTAGACAAATATACCTCTTTATAGTTTGAACTACCTTATCTATAATCAAATTCTAATTTTCCATGGTCAATATTACCCTTCACTATTTTGAATATTTCATTTATATATTAATCTATCCTAATCATAATCATATCTTATCTTATTCGTATGTGAACCATGTTTAGCTTAACAATTTAAAAAAACTAATATTAATAAAATATATAAAACATAAAAATGTTATTAGTTTGTTAAGATAAAGAAATTACACATAGATAACATATTATAATACATGAAGTATTGTAAAAAAAACCATAAAAAGTTTTAAAATTGCAGAAAAGAACCTGAAAAGTTCAAAATTATAAAAAGCATCCCGATGTCTCAAAACTTAAAATAGAAAACATGAAATTAAAAATTTAACATCAGTTTTGCAAAGAATTTAGAATTTACAATTAACACCTCAATGTCTCAAAAATTATAGAAACACCCTCAAAAGTTTAAATTACAGACAAGCACATTAAAATTCTAAAATTTTAAAACTTACAAAAAACACAGATGAATTCAAGAGATTACCATGATACACCTAAAATTTTTAACATTTTAAAACTTAAAATAACAAATATAAAATTAAAAAATTAATAGCAGCGTTTGAAGAATTTAAATTTTTTAATTAACACCCTCAATATCTCAAAAATTATAGAAACACCTTCGAAAGTTCAAATTATAAAAAGCCATCCTAAAATTCTAAAGTTTTAAAATTTGTAAATAATATATGATGAATTCAAGATATTACCCTTGGACACCTAAAAAATTAAAATTTGTCGAAATTAACCTCAAAATTTAAAAAAATTATAAAAAACTCCTTCAAAATTTAAAAATCATAAAAAAACTCTAAATTTTCAAAAATTTTAACTAGCACACATCAAATTCGTCGATTGGTAATAATTATAAAAGACATCCTCAAAACTTTAGAGTTACAAGAAATATACTAACATTTAAAAAATTACCACCAACACATGAAACATAGAATTTACAACTACCAAACTTAAAAATAAATTTTTTAAAACACTTTCAAAGTTTTAAAAATTACAAATCACACCCTCAAAGTTCAAAACCACAAAAATGGGCTAAAATTTTTCTAAGTTGATACTGGTAAACAAAAACAATAAGAATTGATTAAAAACATCTGGTTAATGGATAAAATTTTAAAAAATATTATAAATTAAAAATTATCAGCACTATATAAATTAAAGTAATTTTATATAATTTTAGTAATAAGTTGGGGTAGCCAAAATACATTCATAATATTAATTGATAGATGTTTAAATCCATAGAAATGATAAAACACTGTAATATTATACCTTAGCATTAATTGATTTTAATTTAGAAACTTTAATCTTTGACGTTAATAATATTTATAGGGTAAAAGAATACAAGGAATTACATATGGAGAAACTATTAGAATATTTAGAGATAACTTTAAAAGAATTGAGTTATTTCCATTGCAAATGGGAAAGTGATGGAAATAAATCTAAAATTCAGAAAACGTCAATAAATCACTTGAATTGGCATTAACATAAGACATATCTATTAGTGAAGCACTGAATGAGTTACATTAAAAAATAATTTAATAACTTTATCTTAATCAAAGACAAAATCTCCATGGAAGACATAAGAAAAATTAGTAAGTATTCATAAATTCCATATTGTGTTCTTCAAATTAAATATTAATATTATAATCTAAGAGAAATTGGTAATGAATAATGCAGGTATTTAGTTTAGATCTTTATGGAAAATAACAGGGATAGAGAAAAGGTAATATTATTGAAATAACAGAAATTCTTATTGGATACACATCAAAAGAATTCATTTTAGAGGAAAATAAATAGATAGCTAATTTATTTAAGTAATAAATTAGGAACACAAAGAATTTTATATATATGAAATTAATATTTATTCTCATTGAAATAGAAAAAAAATCAAAGTCTATATTTTGAGTAGTTTGTGTTGAACATCATAAGTACATTTGACTTCTTTGTGAAGTTCAATGAGATGATAAAAAATTAACGAGCGCAGGAAAGATAACAGCATAATAAATACAAATTTAGCCTAATGTCACAATTGATGTAGATGATGAAGACACTACTCTAGAATTGCCCGAAAAATGATAAATGATAAACCTGAAGAAGGATTGATCTTAACTCAATAAAAAAATAAAATAGAAGAAATAAAAGACAATATTTTCTGAATAGTTTATAGAATAGTTTAATTATTTTGAGTGAAATTAGGAATCTTTAGAAGGGAATTTCATGAATTTTTTCCAGTACTTTTATATTCTTATGTGTATGTTTTTATCATATAAAAGTATACTAGAGTTAGCATTAATCTTTAATTTATATTTTTTTATGAAGTCTATCAATGATTAGGAATAAACTTCATATTCTCTTTTGCATCGTTTTAACATACTTTAAATCAATCATTTTGCCATATTGGTTTTAAATATTCACCTTTCTTGTATAACATTATTTTAATATTTTTTACTTTGCAACGCTGTACTTTCTCAAATAAAGCTTAGTTTCATATCGGTCAAAAATAATATGAAAATTCAAATTATTTTTAAATTATATTTGTTTTTTGTCAATTCAAATATCAACATGAAAATTTAAATTGGGTGTATCCCATTTAAACAAACATAAAAAAATAATTGGGATGCAATAGTTTAAAGACAAAAGTGAGCACAAACTGCCAAAAATACTTAATCATGATATTAAATCACGTGCATTGCACGTGTGTAAAAACTAGTTTAATTCTAAAAAGGTGTGTTGGAGGGAGACTAGGTTGCTTGTTCCGTTAACCACGTCAGCTGATTGTATTGTTGAAACTAACTTTTTTGTTGTCGAATTACGTATGACGAGGGCTCTTGTCCATCAAGAAGGAACCACCTCCAAACGACAATTAAAACTTTGATGGAGGAGTAATAAGGTGATAGCATCAAGCTTTGATAACAAAGTGATATTGGATAAACCAACTTCGGAGCCGAGGGAGGGGTCAAACTCACTCTTGATCACAAGAGCTGATTCAACTGTACATGTCGCGCGGAGATAACTTGGAGAAACACCAGTAAATGCAGTAGTAATAAATATGGGGGAGTTACAATCCTTTTGATAGTTGGTGAAGATGTATTATTTATAGGTTGAGAATCTACCAGCGTCGCGGAATTGCCATGTCGCAAAGATATTGATCAGTGTACGATCATTGTATATATGCAGCGCAATACTGTTTAGTACTTTATGGCATGTTTGGATGAAGGGTAGAGAGGGAGAGGGAAGGGAAAAAAAAATCTAATTTTAACATTGTTTGGGAGTTCTATTTATGAGAGTAGATGAGGAGAATGGGAGAAAATTTGAGCCAAAATATTACACACCAAAATGAAGTGTAATGAAAGAGAAAAGAAGGAAGGGGAACATTTCCCTTCCTTCCTTTCCCTAATTCATGTCCCAAGCACATTGACTGGTGTAGAAGGGTAATTGAGCAGCTTGAAAGAGCCGGGGATAGTTCACGATGCGAGGTTAATTACAATAGTCATCGTAGTGAGGATACAGCTTCCAGATCACATTAAATGTATAGCATACGACCATTTTTAGCCTTGTGTCACGAACATTGGTGAGCGCCGGGGCTAACTCCGCACGGTCTCCAACAGAACAATACTTGGCGCATTAAATGCAATATTAGCGGATACAATGATTTGACCTCTAACGCAGGTTTTTGTCAGGCCAATTGTCGCCTAGGTTAATCTAGCACCCGTTGCGATGTTAGCATGCATTCAGCAGCTCAAGGTGGTTAACTGTGCACTGCTGTTTAACTACGCAGTACAACTTGTTCTGTGACGAGGTTAAGGCAATATTTAGTCTATTTTGACTTAGGATTTGGGATCTCTTACCCTTTGGCTAATTAGGGTCTCTCATGACTTTGATGCGCTCATTGATCATGTCAAATGACCAAATTGCCCTCAGTGGGCCCACACTGCGTTGGATTGATCTTATCTGATAATTTGCATTTTTTACTGTCTACGCTCCTTAAATTCTTGCGCTTGCTATTGAAAATGTTAGGCAAATGGAAGGAAAATAAAAAGTTTACTAAAATTTATAAGAGTGAGTCTACTTTTTTATTTCTTTCAGGCCAAGCTTTTGACTCTTAAAAAGTGATCAGAAAATCCATTAAAACATGAGGTCTGCCCCCAAAACAAATCTCATATCCTCGCGTCAGAGTGA